CCATTCAATTAGATCATGGCTGATGTGGCCCCCAACTCTAGTTACTCACTCTTGTTTCCCATAACAGCCTGCCACTCTAAACTTTCTTATTTCATCTTGAAAATGCAATTGAACTGGCACTCACAGCCTTTTGTGGCAGAGAGTGACAATGTTTGTAAATGATGAAATCTTTAAGCCCATACTCCTGAGATAATAGACAGCAGCTAATGCTCTTTAAGGTGTAGATTTAATAGCTGATTTTCATTTGACTTAGCTCACTCCCTACCCCTCCTTCACTTTTGCTAATCTGCATTGTCCTTAACAGGCTTTACATGCAGATTAATCCATTGGAAAACATGGGTGATTTACTGGTGGTGGTTAATAGATGAAAAATGTCAGTAGTGACTGGAAAAAAAACAGTTGCGTGTCAAAGAACTTTTGGATATATTAAAAAAAGGGCTGGTTTTCCCCAGTAAATAAAATTGGTGAGAAAGGGGAGAATGTAACTTGGAGTTTGTGTCGAACTATGAAATGCAAATAAACAGTTGCGGAAGATAGCTTGACTCCAGATTTAATAAATGGATGATTTACAATTTAACAGAGTTCCAGTTTTCCACTAGCCTTTACTTTATTTAATACTTCTTTACTTAACACCAACATGTCTCTTTTTGTAGATTCCCCCACCAGAGGACATAATTTCTCTGAATCTACCCTAATGGATCCCTGATTGTTTCATACACCTTGATTAGACCATCCTTCAACCATAGCTACTTGCTGAAATTAATAAAATAGGACCTAAGGTTGGAGAACCTCAGCTATACCTTGAGTCTCCAGTTTCTGGTATATGCATAATGTGCTCACCATTATGAGTTGTACATGCTTTGGCTGGTTCCTCCTGGAGGATAGGTAATCAAGGGACATGCAGCAAGAGTTAGTAGCTAAAGACACAAAAAGTAAGAATAGGGGTAGGCAACTCAGCAAGATTGCTCCACCATTTAATATGATCAGTGCTGATCTCATCTTGGCCTAAACTCCATTTTCCTACCCATTCCCGTAACCTCTTGACATGTTACTATTTAAAAATCAGTCTATCTCGTCCTTAAATTTATTCAGTGTCCTGGTGTCCACTATACTCTGGGGCAGTGAATTCCACAGATTCATTATCCTTTGCTTCCTCATCTCTGTTTTAAATCTGCCTTAGTCCAAAACAATGACACCTCATTCTAGATTGCTTCATTAAGGGAATCATCTGCCATTTTGCCAATCCCCATTAATGTCTTATATACCTCAATTAGACCTCCTCTTGTTCTTTAACCTCTGGTGAGGAGGCTTAAACTGCTTAATGTTTCAGAGTAACTGGAGTGTATACACCAGCCATGGTCTAACTGAATGATGAGGCAGCCTGGAGGTACTGATCGGCTTATACTCCTGTTTCCTGTTCCTCTGATGCTGTTTGGCCTGCTGTGTTCATCCAGCTCTACACCTTGTTATTTCAGATTCTCCAGCATCTGCAGTTCCTACTATCTCTGGGCTGATAGCCTCCCTGGCTGTAGCCCACAGGTAAGCTCTCAGGGAGCATGGGAACAGAGTGATGCTGCTGGGGGTGTACTGACTGTACTTCATCTGAAATTGGGCCTTGACTAAATTTGTAAGCTTAGATTTCTAATGCAAATTGGTTGCTTTACTAAGAACATAGCTGTAGAATGTCATTCATCATTCAATGGGCAAAACAATGCCAGATATTTTAATGGGTAAACGCAACAAGAAGATCCCTGAATTAGTTCCTTCCATTAGCTTGTAGGTCATCATCCATAACCCTAACCCTAATGCATCAAATGGAGGAAATTAACAATGGCTGATGTTCCACGACCAATTTCCTGCTACTGCTGTCCAAAACAATCCAGGTAAGGACAGAGTTGAGTCAATGTTTTGACATGAGGTCCCCGAGACAGGCAGTCAGCATCAATTAGAGGAGCTGGAAAATTGAGGATGCAGAAGCAGAAGGTGGACATTTGTGGGACTTAAGCGTCAGCAGTGAGATTAAAGGGAATAGAAAGAGCAGAGACATCCCAGAAGCAGACAGAGTGACAGTGATCTGTGTGAGACTCGGTAGCAAGGACAGTGAGGTTAAGGGGGCTGTGAGTGCAGAGAGAAAAGAGACTAAACTGCTTCAAAAGAATCAGAACGTGACATTGTAGGAAAGTGGTAAGTAATTGTTGGTATTTCACTCTGGTGTCTTCTGACTAGATATTATTTAAGTTAAGACCATAATTATAGCTTAAATGCTTTACATAGATAATTCAGATTTTAGAACTGCAAAACTAAATTTCTTCATCTGATAGAAAATGCGTTATGGTTGTTTATGCGATGTAAACAATAGTAAGATTTTTCTGGTCTATACTTAAATAGGCATCAGGGTAAAATAAAAGCAAAGATCCATATTCTATTCAATTAAAATTTGTCTGAGAAGCTCAGGCCTGTGATTTGCACATTCTTCATTATTTGGTAAATCCTCAATGTTCCTGGAAATCTGGGTGTGACCCTGTACAAGAGGTGCCTCCGAGCTCCAGGTTTTCGAGCTTATACTTCTGTTGGGGATCACCTGTGCACTCATGAGACAGAGAGGGTGGTAGTAAGTGGATAGGTTCGAGAATCTCTGATGATATAATGATTCTGGGTGAAGATATGGCACAGATGCCTTACCAAATGGAGATTTATTAGCCACTCCCAGAAGGAAACATAGGAGATGTGAGGAGCAGTGTCCTGATCAGTAAAAGGAACATCTCAGAAAACCTAATGGACAGGACACACTGAACTGCCTTCTCTGTTTTCCCTCCACTCATATCATCAATGTTTTTGTATGTGTGTGTAGAGGAAGTTTTATAAGTGGGTTAGAGTTTTGACTAGTGGAGTAATATGTTGATAGTTCATAATTGTTTACCTGTAATTAGATCTTTTCGTTTTGTAATAAATAGTAACTTCCATTAAGCACAGACACCTAGTCCATGCCTTATGTCAACCTGAATCTAAAAGACAGGTAAATTTGGGAATGCTGCACATTTATTTTAAAAAACTTTAGCATTTTGTTACAACTCCGGGAATATCGGGGCATGATTTTCAGTGCACTATCCCAGTGAGGTGCGACAGTAAACAGGTACTCTTGTGGCATTAGACAGGACTCCACGATAGTCCTGGTGGCTCGGTGTTTAGCACTGTGGGAGGAAACCAGAGCGCCCGGTGGAAATCCACACAGACAAGGGAAGAATGTGCAAACTCCGTGCAGACAGTCATTCAAGGCTGGAATCAAACTCGGGTCCCTGACACTGTGAGGCAGGAATGGTAGCCTGCAGGTAAGGTGGATTGGCTATGCTAAATTGTCCATAGTGTTCAGGGATGTGCGGGCTAAATGGATTGTCCAATGACAAATGTGGGGTTATGAGTGTGAGCTGGTGGGGGGTTCTGGGAGGAATGCTCTTTGGATGGTTGGTGCAGACTTGATGAGCCAAATGGCCACTATCTGCACTGTAGGGACTCTATGATTCTATGATGGTATGTTGGCTACCAGGTGCCAGGGCTACAGGGCAATCTGAACGGGGTGGGTGAACAGCCAGAGGTAGTAATCCATATTGGAACCAATGACATAAGAAGAAAGAGAAATAATGTCCTACAATCAGACCTTAGTGAATTAGGTAAAAAAATTGGAAAGAAGGACTTGAAAGGTAGTAACCTCTGGATTACTCCTGGTGCTGCACAGTAGTTAGTGTAAGAATGGAAGGACAGAGCAGATGAATGCATGGCTGAAGACATGACATCGAACTCAGTATTTTCAAGCATTGAGACTATTTCTGAGGGAAGTGGAAACTGTACAACTCAGGTGGGTTACACCTGAACAGGAATGCTGCCAACATCCTCGCAGGGATATTAACTAATGCTGTTCGAGCAGATTGTAAACTGGATTGGCAGGGGAATGGGATCCTGACAAACAGTTCAGAGGGGAGAGAAGCTGTTATAGAATTAGAAGTTAAAAGGCGAGTGAGTGTAGCAGAGAAATATCGGTTAAGTACAAAAGAAGTGAATTTAGCAAGGCTAGATGGAATATGTTTTAATACAGAAAGCACCAGGAATAAGACAGACAAGCTGCTGGCATAGATAGGAACTTGGGAGGATGATATCATAGTTACGATTGAGGCTTGGCTGAAAGATGGATGGATTGGCAGCTCAGATTATAGAATATTCAGACAGGATAAAGAGGGAGATAGAAGAGTACAGGATGTTGTGTTATTGCTCAAGGAGTCAATTATCCCAGGGAGGGAGGATAATATCTTAGAAGCATCATCAAATGAGACCATACAGGTAGAAGTAGAAAACACAAAAGAGGGAAACACATTGATGGGTGGTCGGTATAGGTCTCCAAACTGTCAGGAAGAGACAGAGGATCAAATCTGTACTTAAATTTCAGAGAAGTATAAGAATGATAAGACAGCCAAGATAGGGATATTAACAATCCAAATATTAACTGAGACAGTTTTAATATGCTAAGTAGGGAGGGATCAAAATTCTTAAATTGCATCCAGGAGATTACATCAGTCTAACCCAGTGGTGGGGAGGTAATTAGAAAGAATTCTGAGGAACAGAATAGATCTGCACCCAGATAGCTACAAATTAATCAAGAATAGTCAGCATGGCATTGTGGAGGGAATACCATGTTTGACAAGTTTGATCAAATTTTTTGAGAAAGTAACCAGGGAGTGTTGATGGGACTAATGCATTGGATATTGCCTACATGGGCTTGAGCAAAGGTTTTGTTAAGGTCCCTTATGACAGACTAGTCAAGAAAGAAAGAGGTTATGTGATCCAAGGTAAAGAGACACATTGGATCTAAAATTGGCTGAGAAGCAGAAAATGGATGATAGTGGTAGATCGATGTTTCTGTGACCGGGGCTGTTTTAAGTGGGGTTCTGCAAGGCTTGCTGATGGTCCTTGCTATCTTTGATGCACATTAATGCTTTGGACTTCATTGTAGAGGGTATGATCAAAAGTTCACAGATGACACACAAATTGGTCAGATTGTAAATAGTAAGAACAGGCATAAACTGCAGGAGGATAGCAACAGACTGTTCAGGTTGGCAGATCAGTGGCAAATGAAATTCAACCCAGAAAAATGTGAGATAAAGCACTTGGAGATGGCTAACAAAGCAAGGGACTATGTTATGAATATTAGGAAAGTTCCCTGGAGCGTGCTGAAGGTTAGAGTTACTTTAGTGTGCATATCCACAGATCCCTGAAAGTAACAGGGCTGGCAGATAAGCTGGTTAAGAAGGCAAGTATTCGAGTCATCGAGTACAAGAGCAGGAGGTTTATGGTGGAATTGTATAAAACATTGGTTAGGCCACAACTGGGACACTGCATGTAATTCTGGTCACCACGTTATAGGAAGGATGTGTTTGCACTTGAGTTGGTGTAGACGAGATTTGTCAGAAAGTTGAATGGGCTGGCGGTCTAGGAATGAGAAAATATTGAATTTGCTGGGGTTGTTTTCCTTGGATCAATGAATGTTGAATGGGGACCTGATAGTGGAGTAAACAGTTATGAGCTGTGTAGATGGGGTGGAAAGGAAAGCATTTTTCCATTGGTGGAGGGGTAGTTTTCCATTCTTGGGGGTGTAGATTTAAGGTAAGAAGTGAATGGCAAAGAGTAGAGTTGAATAGAGCATTTTTTACCCAGATGGTGGTGGGAATCTGGAAATCATTATCTGAAGGGTGGTTGAGTCAGAAACTCTCTTAATAGGTAAATAGTATTTAGATATTCACTTGTGGAGCCAGTGCTTCCAGGGTTATGGAATAAGAGCTGAAAAATGGGATTAGTGCAGTCAGATCTTTGTTGACTAGCCAACAAATGATAGGCCAAATAGTAGCCTCCTTTTGCTCTGCAAATGTCTATGATTCATTCAATCTGCCAACAATTAGTCTCTGAACTTAGGTGTTGGGTCACTTCAGTGACATATCGAATGACCATTGGTGCCCATGAAATCATTCCTCAAAATTAATCCAAAGCAATGAGGTGAAAACCCAGGAAAGTTAATTGGAAAGAATGCTAGTCTGCAGGTAACGTTATTATCCATAAACTTACGAGTACCAATATTTGTTATTATTACCTACAGAGAAATTGGATCAGGACAACGTTAGATATAAGAAAGCATTGACATACCACACGGGGAGAACTTAGAACAGACTTCTTTTGCCCTTCTAATTTTTTCAATTAAATGCAATTAATATCTCCGTTAAAAAAACTCCCAAATGCAGCTTTTTCCTTCACTCTATTTGCTTACCTGAAACAAAAACTTCAGAAGCCATTTATTAGCAGTGAAGCATGTCACCTCCAGGATGGCCATCAGGAGTAATTGTATAGGACTGGTATTTCCCAGTATTGCTCCTATTGAGACCAGTGCAGACACTGCACTCAGGTCTGCATGGATTACACTAGAAATAACAATAAGTTCAATTAGCCATGATAAGCGATCATGAAAATGAACCAAATGAAAATAGATGCATACCAAGACAACATGAATTGTAACAATGTCTTTTCAGATACATCTGTAGAAACTAAAAGTTGTATTTATGTAGCGAGTGATATAATATTGCAGCTTTAACCATCTGTTTCATTTAAAGCAGCAATATTCAGTGTATCAGTGCAAATACTGGCAAATGAATCAGATCCTCATATCATACCGAGTGTGCTAAAGCAAAATGGTATGAGACTTCCTTATCACTTCCAGATTAAATATTGCTGAAAAAAGACACATTTTGTTAAACTTTTCATCGTACACTCATCTGGACATTTCTCAAGAATACCAATTCAAGGGGAAACCCGACATTTATATTGCATGAGCGGTAAGAGTGTTGACATAGAGAATGTACCCCTTAATGCTGATTTAACAGTTCACTACCAGGACTGGTTTAAATTTTAAGACAGCAGATTAACTCTGACTCTAATTGGTCAGTGCATTGCCCTGAGAAATGAACCAGCAAATGAATGTCACCAAATTTGTGGAGTTGAAACAGGCACAGTGCAAGTACATGTTCTTAATGTCTGGAATGAATCAATGAGTGGACAGTCTCCTGTCATGCCTCCTCTTATGGTATTCTTGTGAAATGTCCTGCTAGAATGTAAGATGAGAAGTATTGACAAACTGTGTATTATCTTCTGCAATACTCAAGTTCTGTACTTCTAAACAACTACTTCTAATTTGTAAAATCCAAGATTCTGGCAGAGTAGGGCTCCTCACCAGAGCTCATCTGCTCTGATCACTTTTCTTTATCTTCTTTCTTTTTCTGTCTTGTTTTCCCACATTTCTCTCTCTTTCTTTTGGTTCTCTGGTTGTTTGGAGCTCAGACATAAAGGTGGCGGCGGCTGGGGGTCTTTGATGATTGGCTGTGAGGCAGCTGGTTGTGGTCAGCGGCATCACAGCTTCATTGATGTCCAGAGGAGTGCCGGACCGGGACTCTGCAGCAAGGCATCTGAAGCTGGAGTGTAGCAGCAGCTGGGGCTCAGCGGGGGCCCAAATGGCAGCAGCGGCCGGTGGCAAAGAATGGCAGCGGTCAGCAACGAAAGGTGGCAGCAGCGGAAGTCAGTTATGAAGGATCACAGCAGCAGCAAGGCAGCAGTTGTGGTCAAAGTCTTGTGAGCGGTGGCGAGGTCTGGCGTGCCTGATGGAGGTCAGCAGCAGGGGCTGCTGGTGAGCACTGGTGGGTCTTGGCCCAGCACGGGTGAAAGCATGTCCAGAGCAGGGAAGAGCAAGGCCTCTTGGGGAAAGCCCAGCTTGGAGTGTCTGCAGGCCCACGGCTTAAGTAACGACTGTAATGTTTGACTTTTTAACTTTATTTCTTTATTTTCCCACCTTTTTACTAAGAAAAATGTAGTGCTGAACTTTCTAACTTATTTATTTTTCTATTTCTGTAACTAACATTTTGTACCTACGTAATTTGTACCACAATGACATGTGTGGCAGCATTGTACACTTTTCACTTTACTTTGTACCCCGTAATTGAGTACATGTGACAATAAAACCTAAACCTAAAGCTAAATGTAAATTTAGCTGCGGTAAAATTCCACTCTAGTATTTTGCTGCATTTCCAATGTTCTTAGATTGCTAATTCTGTCTTAAACTAACTATATCCACAACCAACTGAGATTGTTTACACTTCTGAGCAATCCTGTTTTTTGATGAATAATATGGTGAATTTACTTCTTCACAGAACAGTTTTCAGAAGCAAATTGATTTGAAACTAAAGAGAAAATCAGGAGAAAAGAAATTCATGATATTCAATATGCAACTTCACAGGTTTAGGAATATGGATAAGAATGAGTCTTCAGTGCACAGCCCATTGGATAGTCTAAAACCAAGGTCTAACATTACTCATAGTTCTCTCTGATTTATGCCAAATTATTTTAAAAAGTGGAAATTAAACTGTAGCCCTTCACTTTACCAGGTAGTATTCTGCTGCCTCTCTTGCAATGATCAGGCAAGAACTGTATGGGCACAGCACCTCAAAGCTATACCTCTCTGGCAAGTATAATCAGCTTTACCGAGTGCATCGTTTGGATTCTGTACAACTTCACTTTTAAATTCTCTGCATGGATTTCCAACTCTGATTAAATATTGCCTTTTTGTTTAAAACTCTACCAATTAAATGTATTCCCACTTAGATGGCTTCAAAGCAAACTTGAGACTTTTCCAACTACAAAGTATTCTCTTGCATTGGACAGATTTGTCAAATATTTCTGGTGGACATCAATGTTACAGATTCACTTTTTTAAAAATTATTTTATTCATTTGTGAGATGTGGGTAACAATAGCTGTCCATCCCTAGCTGCCCTTGAGAAGATGGTGGTGAGCTGCCTTCTTGAACCATTGCAGACCACCTGCTGTGGGTTGACCCCACAATGCCATGAGGGGGGTGGAATTCCAGGATTTTGATCCAGCGGCACTAAAAGACAACTGATATTCTTCCAATTCAGGATAGTGAGTGGCTTGGAGGGGAACTTGCAAAGTTTGGTGTTCCCATGTGTCTGCTACCCTTGTTCTTCTGTGGTAGGGTTCATGGGTTTAGGAGGTACTGTCTAAGGAGCTTTGATGAGTTTCTGTACTGCATCTTGTAGATGCTATACACTGCTGCCACTGAGCATTGGTGTTGGAGAGAGTTACTGTTTCTAGATGTGGTGCCATTCAAGCAGGCTGCTTTGTTCTGAATGGTAACCAGCTTCTTAACTGTTGCTGGAGATGCACTTATCCAGGCAAGTGGAGAGTATTCCATCACACTCCTCACTTATGCCTTGCAGATAGTGGATAGGATCTGGGGAGTCAAGAGGTAAATTACTCACTGCAGAATTCTTAGCCTCTGACCTTCTTTAGTAGCCACAGTATTTATATGGCAGGTCCAGTTCAGTTTGTGGTTCTTGGTAACCCCCAGGATGTTGATAGTAGGGGATTCAGTGATGGGTATGTCATTGAATGCCAAGGACCAATGGTTAGATTCTCTTTTGCTGGAGATAATATTCAGCTGGCACTTGTGTGGCATAAATGTTACTTACTACTTGTCAGCCCAAACCTGGACAACATCCAGGTCTTGCTCCATTTGAACATGGATAGCATCAGTATCTGAGGAGTATGGGTCTAGAATTAGCAGGAGTACAGATAGCAACGAACTCCAAGGGATGCTGTAACTTCTCAGAATTTCTGACACTAACATGGAAATGTTTACGTTTACACATAATTTTCAAGAAATATTTCATGTCATAGCTTTGTACATGCAGATTTCTCAATGGCAACTTCTTAGCACAATTTCTTTTTGTTTTTGCATCCATACAAATTTTTATTTTCATCTTTTGTTCTTCTTTGCTTAAGCATTACTTCCTTACCAAAATTTAGTAAACGATGTGCTGCTACACATCATATTTGCCCATATTACAATGAACTGTCCACTATAAAATATACATGAGCAACGCGAGTAGATTCATCTCTGTTTTTCTTTCCTTGCTTATGGTAAATGTCTTTACTCTATTCTTCTAGGTATAAGCACTTACGACCACAACGGAGGGCAAAACCACATTGCACAACTGTGCAGTACAACATGTTAGTACAACATAATACTAAGTTATATAAGTCATTATATAGTCAATCATTAAGACTCTTTGTTTGAACCCAGCTACTATAACATAATGATAAATGGAATCAGCTTTTATCAAATGCAGCGTATATGAAGAAGGTTTGGGACAGGTGCTTACTCAATGTTGAAGGTCTTCACAGATCAGAGAAGAATTGACAAAGCCAAGGCTAATGAGTAAATATAACAAGGTGTAGAGCTGGATGAACACAGCAGGCCAAGCAGCATCAGAGGAGCAGGAAAGCTGACGTTTCGGGAATGAGTAAAGTCAAGTTTTGTGAGTTTCACTATGCAGTTGTAAGCTTAATTCATGCCCTGATTCTCAGTCTTGTTTAATAACCTAAAGGAAGTGGACTTGGGAAGTTATATGAATCAATTATTAGGAATGTAATATTAATGCATGTAATGTGAATGCACTATCAGTAAATTAAATGATTGTCTGCTATAACACACTTTGAAATTGGCTAAAATTTAACAACAAAGCATCTTAACTGAGGCAAAATAAATGTAGTGGCTGGTAGTTTTGGAACTTGATTTAAAAATGCATTTGTTGAAATTATAGGTTATTGTTGTTTGGAATTTCCTATGGAGAGTGAAGGAACTACTTTCACCATTCACTGCATGTTGCCAAAGTGTTTCTGCAGGTTTATCCTCAGGGATTTGGAGTTTTTAAATGCTTGATCTAATATAATGTAACCTCCAAAGATGTTAGTGAGTAAGGCACACAGCAGAGAAACTTGTCAATCAGTAATGTAGAAAAATCCTCCAAAGATATAAAGACTACAAAACAGGAAATATAAATTAAGTTTAAATCCTTTCACAAGCTAGGAAGTAAAGATTGTGATATGTACTGAGATTAAGAGAAAAATACAAATGATGAAAATGGGAATTTTTTAAAAACAGTTATGGATTTTTCCAAACATCTCTGGCATTAATTTTCGCCTGAGGAAATGAAACTCCAAGATGGTAACACTGAGCTGAATTTTACTATAACTTCAGGGAATTTCATATGTTTCTCTCCATGAGCTCTAGCAAGTTTTCTCTCACAATTTTATGCTGCCCACTAAGATAGTTCCATTCCTGTGCCATCTTACACTCACCAGTGGCAGAACTCCTCAACACCTCCAGGACCCTTCTGTGATTTTGCCACTGGCACCATATTTAAAGCCCAGATGTGTACCAGGTAAATCACTGCCAGTTTTTGCAAATAGTCCTTCACAGTAAATGTAATGGGAGGGAAATGAAAAGCAAAAGTTTCTGTGGGCAAAAAGGTGGCATGATTGGCACCTCATTGGAAATAGAAACTCACGTTCTTACATGTGTTGCAACTTTACATCTTATCTGCCTGATCGACTGTCATTGTAACAGCAGCTACAAGAATCAAGTTATACAGGGTACACGTCCTTAGTGCTATACCCTGTTAGAAACCTGTCAAAGAGAGTGTTACTCTTTCCCTATTGTCCAGAGTAGCATAACATCTTGCTATGGCTCAGGCCTGACTGTGAGCCGCTCCCCGAACAGTAATGATCTGGAATCTCTGACTTTACTAGATCCAACCATCCACTGACCATACCAAGTCACTGAACTGATGACAAACAATGTCCTTGATTTCCTTTGCTGGTACTCATTGACTGATCACAGACCGCCTTGACCTGGCTGAGGACTCCCCCTTTTAGACTTTGAGACACGACTACTAGGTTGAGCATATTCAGTGTGTTTACCGTATAAGCTGCTGATATATGTTGCAGGTGTAACATTGATATATCATTATCATAAAGCAACATGTCTGCTCCCCAGATGGATCACTGTTGACGAGGTTAACAAGCTGCCTGGCTTTGTGTCTGTAATAAGAGGGAAAGCAAGATGAAGTATGGCGCAGTATTGTGCAGAAAGGCAAAGCAGGAATGCTGAGAGCATCCGAGTAGAGATAGAGTGAAAGAGTGCTAAGAGAGCAAGCAAGAAGTCTGAGGTGCCAACTTCTCTAATTCATGAGACACATTATTGTGCCTGGATGCGGATCAGCCTGATAGCAGCATTACAATGTAGGTGTTGGTGCACTTCAAAATGCAACATTGAAGTGGATAACTGTATTCTGAGTCAGAGGTGTGCCTTGCTGATGTAGTGAGGCTCTTGTGTGTCTGTTGTCTACTACCCTGAACAGATGGTACCGGCAATTGCTACCCAAGAAACATGGTCTGAGATGTTGGGCAATGCTGGACAAGGTGGAGGCCCAGGGGAGCATGCAATGAGCTGGAGCTGCTAAGTACCAATTCTGACTTTCATGTCAGGAATTGTTGGCATTTAGTTGCTCTCTGCCGAGTGGAGCAAACCACATATATAGGTGAAAATGCGATGTTAATGCATGTGAATGAGTCTTTGTCACTTACAAACAAGATTCTTGACTCATAATTCAAACATTGGGTGGAAAATCAGACTTCGTTTTTCTACGTTGAGAATCTCATTTTTCCCAACTGGCACACCTTTGCTCACATTATTCAGGGGCTGGGAAAATTCAGCCCATAAATGTTTCAAGACCAGAGAGGCTGTCCAACAGACTTTACAAAACCATGGACAATTTGTCTCAATTCCCATCACTAGTGTATAGATTCTATTGGTAAAAGACTGAAAACTCAGAGCCTCTAGAGATGCAGAATATTTCTGATATTCTGCTTAATCATATTTAATACCAGATTTCTGTGTTTAGCTGAGCACATACAGTTGTCACAAATTGCTGTCTGCAATATCCTGGAATAATGGTAAGCACAGATACCATTGTTGCTAATAAACAAGCTAAATTGACATGTAAGTACACTATTTTTTAAATTATAAACATGTTAAAAAGTGACAATAATATATTTATCCTCCTTCATCAAACTGAACACAATTCACCATGGTTCAGCAACTTCTCTGCAGTGTACTGGGAATTATACTAAAGAAACCTGTAGGAAGAGGAATTATCTAAGACATTATAATAGGAATCTTACTACATGTTAGCCTCTGTTGATCCAGCGTATGAGTCTGTTCAAAATCTGCAATCATAAATAATCTCATTGAAACTTCCATCTATCAAGTATCAAGTGAAAATTAAAATTAAAATACAATACTGGAAATCTGAAATAAAAACAAAGTGCTGGAGAAATGCTGCACGTCTGGCAGCATATGACAACATTAATGTTTCAAATCTGATATGACTCCACTTCAGAGTGACAATAGTTAAATTTGATTTTTGCTCCACAGATGCTGCCGGAACTTCCAAATGCTTTCTATTTTTACAAGTAAACATTTCCGGTCCAACAGGAGGTACCAATCTAGTTGGTCCTGTTGAGCATAAATATAGGTGATCTCCAAGGAAAACAAAGGCCTGACCAAAGGAAGCTCAAGCCTGCTCTACAAGAACTCTCCAAAATGGCTGTATTCTCATATAATCCTATTACAGGTAGAATTATCCACTATTCCAATTCAATTTACTTTAGGCAATAGGTGAAATTAAACAAAAAAACATAAAATATAGATTTACTGAAAGTGTTCACATTCTGAACAATGGATTAGTTTAAGGTCTGTTATAATAATAAGCTAAAAAAAGCTTTTACCTGGTCATGTTTATTCGTATCTTTGAGTTCTCAAATTCAAAGAGCAAACCTTCTAGGATTGTGGCCCACTGAAGTGCAAAGGCTGCAAGAAGCATGTTAAAAGCAATGCCACTCCGCCCGTATCTCTTGAGGAACGTAACCATGAAGCCAAAGCCAAGAAAGACCATTGTATTGACATCTTGAAATGCTGTTGTATAAAAAAAAATGAAAATGCAGCACTTTGAGATTTTCCAAGGTCATCATTGTCTTGTATGAGTGCAGGTTCTTTCTCTCCGTGTCTGTGTTTGTGTGTCTGTGTGTGTGTCTGTCTGTCTGAACCAAAATTTACTTTCATATCTATGTTATACAATTCTGAAGTTTCACCATAACTGAATCTTGATGGACTGGGAGTCTTGTCATTCAATTAGGGACACAACAAAAGACCCACATTGCCTCTTCCAGGGAAGACTCACCATATCTAACACCAATAATCGGTGAGGTCACTGGCCAGCCTTTGCCTGGATTTAATACTCTAGGATCAGTGATCGTGCCTAGCAAAGGCTGTCAGTTTATCAAAGGGTTGCTGTTGGTAGGCCACCCAGAATCAAAGAGGATTAATGAGTAGGAAAAGTGACTTCTGCAAGTGGGTCATAAAAGGAGTGGCCTTTGTCCAAACCTTCAATTCCCTCACTAGCTGACAAGCTGTTCTCACAGTTTCACACTGGCTCATGCACACTACACGGCAGGCAAGACTGACTACACCTTGGTGGATCCCAACATTCAGCAGATGCCCTAAATTGGTCTCTTGAGGATCTCTATTGAAGGTGAGCTTGGAAGTTGACCATGCACCTTCCCATGGCAAACTTAATACCATTGGAGATAAGATGGTGATGAGGTTTATGTTTGTTGCTCCTGCCTCCAAGCTCAGCACCTCCAGGAGAGAGGAATCTGCCTAAAGTCTGTAGCAGTTAATGCTGAATCCTGGTTTCATTGTGAATTGAACATGCTCTAAGTACCAATGTTAATTGCTGCAATGGCAAATAACTTGTGTTCTTAATCCTCCACAAACCTATGGATCAGGTGGACATTGAAGATCTCAATGTCAGTATTTAAAGTAGAGAAGATAGTTCTCCCAAAGCCCTGGCTAACACTTTCCTACTCAACCAATACCACCTCATACTCATTCAACACATTGTTGGATTTTGCTTGTGTAAATTGGCTATCCTGTTTGCCTGACTATGAACTGCTCAGAAATGCTTCCAAACTTGACTTGGTGACGTGTAACTATGAATCTTTCACAATATTAATGCATAATGATGTAAATATCAACTATATAGCTGAAAACTATTTCATGATTTCTAATTCTTCCTGTGCCGTTTTAATTTCCATTTCTAATACTTCCTCTTAAAATATCAAAATATAACTAATTAAAATACCAAAATGACTTTAAAAAAGAAGCAGTTGTGGATTTCTCTTATCAGAACTTCCAGAATTTCACGCCCAATTATTTTGACGCTAGACCTAATGGTTTGCTTTTATCATATCTTGGAAGTTGTTGCTGTGCGCTACTGATCTTTATAGTCTCGCCCAAACATGTTGCGTCAGAAGTCAGAACACAATGTTCAAGCATCTCCATTTATATCCTAGATTTCAGACATTTTCATTTCCATGCCTTACTTTTGCTGTTTTCAGCCACCAGTAACATTAGATAAACATGCATATTGCTTAAAACAGGATGCAATATAATTTTAAAATCGTGAGGTGCACAGCCAAGCTAGCTTACAACCTGATGACATTACATTTTGGTTTGGAGATGATTTAATTATTTTTATAATGCTTAAGCATTTTAAAACCTCTTTGGATTCCTATGATTTTGTTCTAATTGTCTTTTAAATATAACTGGGAGAAAATCCATATCCCATAGTGATCTGGCTTGCTATTCATATGTTGCCTTATAGAACATCCCATAAAATATGTATTTTAACTTAAATTACAGGGAAATACAAGTCATTTACAAGTCATTTAAACTATATGGGGTTGGCTCCTGTATGTTAATCTATAGCAATTAACATTTGTCTTCCAGTTTATAAATAATTTCAGTCACCGGAGATCATATTCAATCTAATTAATTATATACACACTGTAGTTTTCTCTGACTATACGAAAGATAATTAAATAATTAACGTAAGGAAACTGCCCAAGGACTCTACAGACATATTGCTTTAATTCATTGGATATTTCTGTCCGAGTGCAATTTCCCTTCTGTAACAATGTTATGAATTAAGAAATTGTGCTAGAATAGGATATAGAACTACTTTTTAATGTTTGGCTCATAAAAAAACATTGTGGTGCTGCAAGAAGTTTTGTTCCAGTGAGTTCTGCCAACTAACAACTATAAGCAAAGTTTTCACTTATAATTCAGAGTATAAACATAAAAAATTCATGATTTTAGCTGTGCATTAGGGAAAGATAGATGTTGGGTTATTCCCCATGGCAAGTAGCAAAAAATTGGAGAGTGAGTCATACATATTCCTACTTAACAAATGTCAGTCAAAGAAGATGTGAAGTGAAAGAGACATACAGGAAAGATAAGAGAACTTTAACAGAAAAGTGAAAAAAATGTGAAAATAGGTGGAAATAAGAAAAGCTAAAAGTTACATTTGACTAACGTTACATAAACATAAGCATCAGGCATCAGCATATTAGTTACTCCAATGAGTGATATTTTCTTTTATGTTCAATTCTGGGATATGGACATCACTGACGGGCCAGCATTTATTGCCCATCTCCAGTTGCCCTTAAGAAGGTGGGGGTGAGCTGCCTTCTTGAACTGTTGTATCCACGTGCTGTAGATTGGCACACAGTGCCCTTAGGGAGGGAATTCCAGGATTTTGACCAAGCAACAGTGAAGGAACAGTGATATATTTCTAAGTCAGGATGGTGAGTGGGTTGGAGGGGAACTTGGAGGTCGTGGTATTCCCATATATCTGCTGCCCTTGTCCTTCTAGATTGAAGTGGTTGTGGGTTTGTAAGGTGCTATCTAATGATCTTTGGTGAATTCTGCAATGCATCTTGTAGATGTTACAGACTGCTGCAACTGGGCATCGGTGGTGGAGGGAGCGGATGCTTGTGGATGTGGTGCCAATCAAGCAAGCTGCTTTATCCTGGATGGTGTCAAGCTTCTTGAGTGTTGCTGGGACTGCACTCATCCAGGCAAGTAGGGAGTATTCCATCACATTCCTGACTTATGCCTTGTGGACAGTCTTTGGTATGACGTGACGTGAGTCACTCATTGTAGTATTCCTAACCTCTGACCTGCTCTTGTAGCCACTGTGTTTTTGTGGCAAGGCCAGTTGAGTTTCTGGGCAATAGTAACCCTAACTATGGTGATAATGGGAGATTCATTGATGGTAACACCATTTAATGTCAAGCAGTGGTGGTTAGATTATCTCTTATTAGAGATGGTCATAGCCTGGTATTTATGTGGCATGAAAGGTACTTGTCACTTGTCAGCTCAAGCCTGGATATTATCCAGAACTTGTCACATTTAAATATGGACTGCTTCAGTATCTGAAGAGTTGTGAATGGTGCTGAACGTTGTGCAATCATTGATGAACATCCCCACTTCTGACCTTATGATGGAGGAAGGTCATTGATGAAGCAGCTGAAGATGGTTGAGTCTGGAACACTACACTGAGGAACTCCTGCAGGGATGTCCTGGGGCTGAGGTGTCTGATCTCCAACAACTACAACCATCTTCCTATGTGCCAGATATGACCCCAAGCAGCGGAGAGTTTGACCCCGATACCCAATAATTTAAATTTTGCTAGGTCTCCTTGATGCCACATTCAGTTGAATGCAGTCTTGATGTCAAAGTCTGTCATTTCTTTAACAACAACTTTAAAATTCAGGAAATGTTAGTCTTGATCTCTGTGTTCTCATGTTTTTGCCTTTATTCCAAAACTATAATTTTTCTTCATCAACTAATGAAAATGAAGAAGTGGCCATATGTACAAACTAGGGAGTGACATTTTATACTCACAACTGCTTCTTTTTGTTCTGAGCAACATGTGCTAATTCCTTTGTTACTTCAGATAGTTTTGATGCATGCATCCCAATCTTTACCTCAAAATTTACACTTGTTTTTGACTGCATAGTTTACAATAATTCTACCAATGCACCTTCGGGTATAGGGAACATTTTTGTTACTGAGCTTCACTTAAAGGAGGCTCAATTAAGTGTATTGAAAGCCTGGTAGTGATGGTGGAAGTCTAAGTGCTGTAGAATGTTAGAACTCTTCCTTCTGACATTAAAATCGAAAGCTAACCTAGATAGTGTGGTCGTAGATTTTCTATGTGTGACAGTTATAAAAGTTCCAGCGTGAATGAAGTCTTGTTATTCATAACCATTTTCTATTGGATAGGAATTCACAGCACTAATCATTAAAAAAAACATACATTTAACATTTTAACTGCAAGGAAAATAGTTTAAAGCACACTTACCTGCATATGTGGCAATGTATTTCTTTGGGCTGTATTCATGGTAATCCAAAAATAATACAAATAATACTATGATTATGCACTGTAAAGTCAGAGCCAGCAAAGGAAAGCTAATCCTGATTCTTGGACTCAATTTCTGAGGCATTGTGGTTTTTCTAAAAATTTTAGCAACGTTTTCCTATCAATTAAATGTCAATAAAATGAATAAGTGTAATGTCCTCGTATTTGCCAATTTATTATTACTTGGTCACAAGTGAAAGCTGCTTTTAGATAAGTTCATTGGACACACCTATATCTTCAAGGGGCTGTTACTTAATCTGATGCAAAGTTATGAAAAAACATTGAACAAATTAATTAGCAGGCAAAAGATGTTTGCCATCTCCTTTAAGTCCTTAATCAAATTGTACTTAACATTTATCATCTCCTTTAATATCTCTCAATACAAATTTGTATTTAGGATCTTAATCTGCAATTCCATTTGTTATTACATTTTATTGGCTTTGATAATGTCCATTTTCCATGTGGCAATTATGTAGATTCCTGATCACCCACCAGGAACGGATTGAGGTGCTGCCTTCCTGCAGTTCCTTTAATTGATAGAATTATAAAATTTTACAGTACAGAAGGAAGCCATGCAGCCCACCATGTATGCACCGGCTCTCAAAAGAGCCACACATGTGATCCCTTTCTCCATCCTCATTTTGTAGTCCTCTAAATTCATCACTTTCAAATGTATATCCAGCTCTCTTTTGAAACCTCCTACAGAATCGATCTGCAACACCCTCTCAGGCAGCGTATTCCAAATCCTAACAACTCTCTGAGTAAAGAGGTTTCTCCTCATCTTACTCCTAGTTCTTCTGAAAATCTTGAAATTATGACCCCTAGTTACTGACAAAAGAAATAGCGGAATCATAATATCCTGTACACTGTCAAACCTGTTCATAATTTTGAAAACTTCAATACGATCACCTCTTAATATGATCTTCATGTGAACCTCAGAGCCCAACAAGCATTGGACATGATTGTCCTCACATTGAAGAGTTATCCGCACTGACGACAAGCCCAGGAGCAACCCTGGAGAACGAGAAGCATCCAGCTCTGGGAGACCAAGTAAAAGCAAAATACTGTGGAAGCTGGAAATCTAAAACGAACACAGAACCTGGTTGAGGAACTCAACAGTAGTATCTCTGGCAGCATCTATGGAGAAGCAAACAGAGTTAACGTTTCAAAACCGATGCGACTGCTCTTCAGACCGTTAACTGCACGTATGTTGCACTTAGAGGGACATATCTTAACACCACCTCATTCATCACTAGGAAAAGGTCCCATTCGATTAATGATCACATCATCTTTGATCACCATTTCTACTTCCGCAAGGTTTGTGCTCAGTACCCTGGTAACCAACACATTTCTCTGGAGCACTCTCATGTACCTGATGCTTTTGGGAAACTGAATACTTTACAGGGATGGTCACTGGAGTTCAAGGGCTAGCTGCTGTGACCGTGGCTTATGGCATCATGACCGTGGCTGTGCTCCCCATTAACTGATGCAGAGCACAGATTTAATGCCAATCATGCTTTGATCAGGGTTGTGGTGGAGCAGATGATAGGGGCAGCTGAATTGACAGTTGTGTAGCTTGGACCAGTCAAGGGGGGCCCTCCAATATGGTCTGGACCAATATTCCCTCATGGTCATGCAGCTACTCTGAGGATCCATGCATAGAGATTAGTGTGCAGGCACCTTTTACAGCATTCATCACCGATTCTAGAATTTGCTGCCATGCACAGACCATGGAGGTTTGCATTTCAAGGAGAACTTCAACCTCTATTTCTTTTATTTGTGTCTCTTTTGCCTTCTGTGATAAAAGCTTATGCTTGGAATTGTCCAGTTGCTTGTCAGTATGTAATGTTCCCCAACTGAACAATGACCAGCTTTAGGTCTACAGTGGGCATTGGGGAAAGGGTAACATTGATTTAGAAGATGCTTATTTGGGATAGATCTACAGACCGGTAAAGTTTGTGATGTGGTGGTTAAGTAGCAACTAAAGAAATGAAAGAATAAATTTGTACGTGCCAAGGTGTGTCAGCTGTGCCCAGATATGGGCCATGAACAGTATGGTTATGGTGGTTGTGCCATCATATTGCTAGGAAGGTGCAACATTGGATTGTAAACATTTTTCCAGGTGTGCAGCGGCCTTTCAAAGATGGCATGGATGCAAGGGATGCCAGTCTTTCAGCATACATTGGTGAATGGAGAGTTGATCCAGGAACAGTGTGTGGTAAGGGGACACAACGGACACTTTAGGGGGTCACTAGGTAATTAGTGCAGCAAGTTAGATAACATATAGTGAGAGAACTCATTAGGCCTCACATTGAAATATCCTCCAAAAAACTTGACACAACTCAGAATTAGTTAATAAATATAATTCAGCCCATAGGCCGATTTAGTCAATTAGAGACGCTGTGGAAAGTGAAGCTTCTGGTGGGCAGGTATGAGGCCATCTGCCTTAGGGGCTAGGAAAATTAAATCAGAGAACTGTCTAACTGGGGAGAAACTAAGAAATAAAGAGGATCAAAGAGGTTTGGGCATCCAAATTCAAAACTAAATTAAAGCTGGCATCCAGCTACCAAAACCAATTGAAAAGGCTAATGGAATGCTGGTTTCCATCTCAAGTGGATTGAATTATACAGAGCTGGGAGTTATAGTTCAGTTGAATAGAATCTTGGGTATTGTGTCAATTTTTTGGCACAATGCAACAGGAATGATATTTTGTATTGGACGGGATGCAATGCAGATTTATACTGGGGCTTAGGTAGTTAAATTACAATAACAGGTTACATAAATTTGACGTCTACTTCCCTGAATTTAAGACATTGAAGTGCAATCTGGTCAAGGTGTTTATAGTATTAAAATGATTATATTAAGTAGATTTTATTTTTCCATTTGGTGGAGGAATCAAAAATGAGGGAGATACTTGAACTTACAGCCAGGTAATTTAAGACTGAAACAAAAACAGAAATTGCTGGAGAAACTCAGCAGGTCTCACAGCATCTGTGGAGAGAAAGCAGAGTTAGCGTTTCCGTTTTGCTGACCCTTCATCAGAACTCTTTTTTAAATATATATTTATTTATTACTTCAAGACTGAAAGCAGGAAGCACTTTTCACAAAAAAAGGTAGAAATTTGTAATTAAGGCCTTAGTTAACACATGATTGGGCAGAATGTCCAACATCTCATTTGTGTCTTGTTTATTTTCTTCTCAACAGGGAGGGCCCATTTTGTCCCTTTTACTCTTTAATTTATACCCATTATACCTTTCACCACAATTAGCAACTGCTTTGACTTTCACAATGGGCCTCCTCTAAACATCTGCTCCTTTCATTCCTCCTCCGCCTCTGTCAAAATTATATAAAAATAAACACCACTTTCCAACCCATTTCATGAATGAAGAGTCACATCAGACTCAAAACATTGATCGCTCCTCTCTCCACAGATGCTGCCAGACTTGTTGAGTTTCTCCAGCATTTTCTGTGTTTCTTTCAGATTTCTGGTATCAACTGTATCTTGCTGTTATTTAACAGCCCAACATCTCCCCCACCTCTGAGAAAATTGCAGAGGGGGAGTTTCAGAATGCAAGGAGGTAGCAGTCACAGCACCCAAGGCATTTTGCCAACAGCACATGTTTGTAAACCTGTTACTGGGGCCATAAAATTCAATCCCATACTTCAGTACCTCAAACTGCAGATCGAGAAGTTACATCCTAGCATTGGGACCCAAAATAAATTCATTCGCTTTCCAGAAGGACCTTTCACTCGTTTACGAACCAACAGTTTTACTTGAGAATAATTTCCTGTTCAGCTCGGAGCACATAAACTCAATACTTTGATGCATTCACAAGGGAGGGTTTGGAACTGCTTGGCCTCACAGTGGTGGAATCCTGTTTCTTTAAAACTAAGTGTGGAGCCAGGATTAGAAACAGGAGATGTATCTGTTCAGGGCTCAAAAGGTTTTCTTGCATGATTATATTCTTCTGATTTGCAAGGGTAGGTAAAATGCCAACTTTAAATGGGCAGAACGCAGGAAGTTGTGCTCCCTGCTAGGACCTTCTGGGCATCAGATTTAAAAACATCGAGGTGGGATTTCATTCTCTCTAACCCAGGAGCATCATTCAACCTCTATTCATGAATATCGTCCATCCCAGAGATAGAATAGAATAGACATAATTTATTGTCACTTGTGCTTTTTACAAAACAAAATACAGTGACAAGTGTTGAGGTTGCCATAGCACAGGGCCCATATTAAAAACAGAAGGCATAGTTAAGAAAAAAAAGATTTTTAAAATTCAGACAAAGTCCATCTTAGTTAATTTAATGGCTCCTGGATTCAGGAAACATGGTACCATTGCAAGACCGTCATGCTGGGATGCTGGAATCCCAGGACACAAGACTCTGCAAAAGCCGCCCAAGGATCAATCTCACCATCAATCCTGGGAAGGAAGACATCACAAAAGCCTCCAAAAAGAATCCCGGGCCATGCCGCCGAAGATGGGGAAGCAGACCACTACTGGACGAGGCCACAATGGCCACAAGGAACCACCATATCAGCCATTCAAAACAACCGTCCTCCACCTCACCGAGATCGTCTTCCCAGATACTGGGACTCCATGCTCGACCCTCCGCAAGCCCCCTCCTCAACGCTGCTGCCAGAGTCATGCTCCGGCCCTCACAAAGCCGACTTCTTACAGCCTTCCACCAAAAAAAGTGAGAAAAGAAGAAGCAAAAAGATGAGGAAAGAAAGAATAGAAAAGTGGATGGAGTGGACGAGCCCTGGGCCCAGGACCCTGGATGCTGCCTCCTCCACCGCCACCATCTTGCTAATAAAAATGTCAGAGGCATCTGCGAAAAGTAACGCCATGGTTCAGTGGGTCCTATCAAAAGGAACTCCTGAAGGCTGCCTGGGAGAGAAAGGAAGTTCATTTCCCAAGGCATGGCAACAGAAGGGAATCCTGACTGATGAAAGCAGCCTGGACAGAGGTGGTTGTGGAGGTCAGTGCTATGGGCAGCTCAAGAGAACTGCCCTGATATGAACCATCGTCCACTCAATGCTTCATGCCCTGTGAATATGAGTCAACGTAATAAAGTTACCATTGCACAGGACTGTCAAACACAAGATGGGAGCCATGTGCAAGCCTGAAATAAGGCTCCTGACCCCCTGCTTGAGCAGGCTGCAAGTTGGCAAGGGAGCTTTGGGATCATGTAT